AAGTGATTTGGATCGACTGCGGCTTCGGCAGAAGCGTTGTTGATGCGAATTTGCTTGGATAGATCAGGTTCGCTTATGGAGCTGGAGGCGGCTGTGGTGGTTTGGTGTGGAAAGAGTGCCCCCAGGGGTTGAGGGGGAAGAGTGAAGGAGACTGTGTGTGTTTGTCGGGAGCTGAGTCGGTATATCTGTCTGTTATCATGTTTACACTTCTTTGTGCTTGCATATCATAGATCTAGATTGTATCATCTATTTCGAATATATGCAATCTCATGAACATTTACTTTCCAAGTTTTGACTTCATCCTTGACACCGGTCACGGCCGTAAGCTTCTATGCTGCCCAAATTCGAGAGTTGTCGCGATGTCTGTTTATGGACATACCAGACAGGGACATACAATACCGTCTTTGTATTCGGGCTCTGCTTACGATCGAGCCGGTGCACGTTGAGCTTTATCTCAGGGTTGGAGGCTATCGTGCGGGTGGTGGCTGCCCCTTCCTTCCTCTCAGTCACACACGTGGAGTTGAGCCTAGCGCTCCTTCCCATCATGCCTTCCTCCACGATCTCACCTCCGCAGGATTTTCTTCCATATCTCCTCGCATGCTTCACACCGTCACTCGCGAGCACATCATTCGTAGTTCGCTCGTATCGTTCCTTTTCATCTCATTTTGCGTCAGTCATCACCAGCAGTTACCATGGGTGCTTCTTCAGTTGCCAGCGACGACTCAAACAACGATGTGAGTGACTGCCCCCTTCCGAATTAAGAGGAATCTTGACTAATCACGCACAGGATGGGTTCATCGTCGATATCGATGCGATTCAGGCGCACGGCATCGGTGCTGTCGACATCTCAAAACTCAAGTCAAACGGCTACTATACGATCGCATCGGTGCATTCAGCTACTCGTCGCAACCTACTGAAGATCAAGGGTTTCAGTGAAATCAAGGTTGACAAAGTCAAGGACGCTATCGCCAAATGCCAGGTACGTCACTGCAGTAGGCCAGCACTTGAGTGCGCATCACTAACATCCATTGCAGCCTTCTGGTGGAGGCTTCCAGACCGCCCATGAGCTCGGACATCTACGCAAGCGTGTCATCAAGATCTCTACTGGTAGCAAGGCACTCGATGCAGTCCTCGGAGGGTGGGTGCACATCACAGTTGATCTTCCGAGCATTTACACTGACGATACGCAACAGTGGCTTCCAAACCATGAGCATTAGCGAAGTCTTCGGAGAATTCCGCTGCGGAAAGACTCAGCTATCACACACCATGTCCGTCATTGCGCAGCTGCCGAAAGACATGGGTGGCGCAGAAGGCAAAGTGGCATACATCGGTAAGTGGCATGTCGCTGCATTCGAATGCCGCTGATCATGATACAGATACCGAAGGTACCTTTCGGCCTGAGAGGATAGCCCAAATTGCTGAGCGCTTTGGAGTCGACCCTGAGACTGGTATGTACCCTTCTCACAACTTCGATGGCGTCCACTGACAACGTATAGCCCAAGATAACATCACCTATGCCCGCGCTGTCAACTCGGAGCATCAGATGGAGCTTCTCAACAAAGTCGCCGAATTCTTCGTCAGCAACGAGTACCGACTACTCATCATCGACAGCATCATGGCTCTGTTTCGTGTCGATTATACAGGTCGTGGTGAACTCAACGAGCGCCAACAGAAGCTCAACCAGTTCCTCTCTAAGTTGACGCATGTCGCTGAAGGTGCGCGAAAGATTACTCCCAATCGTTAATCTCGGCTAACATCACCCAGAGTTCAATGTCGCCGTGCTATTGACAAACCAAGTACAGAGCGACCCTGGTGCGAGCGCTCTCTTCGCTGGCGCAGACGGTCGCAAGCCGATCGGTGGCCATATCCTTGCTCACGCGTCTGCTACGAGGATTCTGCTCCGCAAGGGTCGCGGCGAGGAGCGTGTTGCCAAGATCCAAGACTCTCCTGGTATGTCATCCTTCGTTGCTACTACTCTTGCTACCTCTACTAACGGACTGCGTTAGACATGCCGGAAAAGGAGGCGACGTACATCATTACCAACGGCGGTATCAACGATCCGGAGAAGGTGTGACAGATATGTAGTGATCTCGCTTCGGTGCATCTATGAGGGAAGATTTACGAACAGGTGGTGGTTTACGAGACGGAGTAATGTACTTCTTTGATTCTCGGTCATGAGAAGGCTTTATGTGGATACATTCCTTAGTAGTCGCATTGTAGTAGTCTACGAACAGCAAGCCTATAGCTTTATAGTAAGATTATACATGTCTAGACCCACTGCAACCGCAGTGACCGCAGCAATGTATGCGACGAGTATTGCCATGGACTGCACAACACTCATGTGCAAGGTCGGGAACGTCATGTTAACCAAACCCGTGAGCAGATTCGCCACAAGGAAGACTGCGAGGCCATTGCGATTGAAAGCATAAAGTACAGTGCTAGTCGCGTCCCGGCTCCTTCGTGACTCCTCGCTTTTAGTCGTAGCCTTGTACAAGTTTGGGAAGAGAAAACTTTCGATAGCGTAACAGATGGTGATTTGGTAACTGTTGAACGAAGAGACCCAGAGAAAATAGGGCAGATTGGCAAGGCGGCGCGATACAGGGAGTCGAAGACCGTAGTAGCTAGTTGAGAAGTAGAATAACACTGTCCAAAGCATGGAGGTCATGATCAGCTTCCCGAATGTGGATTGCCGGAGCTTCGTCTGGAATGTGGCATCCTTGGGGATTTGTTGTTGCCTAGGTAGTGCGGAGGCGCCCAGCGATTGACCGGCGAGGAAGATGGCGAGGTAGCCGAAGAAAGAGAATATGCCTTCTCTGTTCTGAGAGAAGAGATCGGTACGGGGTGCTATTAGGATGAAGGACCCGAGGGAAGTCCAGTCTAGAGCGATTTCGTAGATGGCAGCCAGAGTAAAGGAGAGAATGGCGTAGGAAGGTACCAAGTCAAAGGCTGATTGAAAAAGAGCAGCGAATGGGGGAAGGAATCCCAGGGTAAAGAAGAAGTTCCAGTGTACACCATATTCTGTGACATGCTCGGCATAGTCCAGTCCTTTCACAGAGATGAGCCGTATGATGCCTAGGACAAGGAGGGGAATTGCGTGTCTGACCGATGCTATCAAGCGCTTTGACAGTGGCTGAAGACCAGCTCCTTCCTTAAGAGACGCCCGAACAGACACTACGCCTGCCGTAAAGACGAAAGATCCCACACCCATGTCCATGAGCGATGTACCCCAATTCTCCACTTTCGCGAAGCGCCTCGGAAAGACGCGGAAGTCGACTGCCAGAATAGCAACACACGTTATAACCATCATCGCGCCACGGTAATTCGTTATGAACGGCTTGACGGGCAGCGCATCGAGCTTCGTGTCCTTTTCCGACGTGTCGATTTTCGGTGGCCTTGGAGCGTCCTTCACCGCGACGGGTTTCTCGAAGACGTATAATGTGATTGCCGGGAGCAGCAGAAGGAGATTCAGGATCCATGGCGAGGAGGAGTATATGGTAGTCGCGAACAACGTGGCACCGCAGTTGAGCAGGAAGTCGACGAGGAAGGCCGGCGGCGTGTACGGCGTGAAGAGGCGCATGCGCGACTGGATGACCGACCAAAGTAGAATGCTCAGCTGTGCATGCAGTTAGTAAGAGTGCATTGCTTGAGTAGTGGGTGTGTGTACGGTACAGGCATTGCGAGCGAGACGCTGTTCACGTCTGCTACGGAGCTCCCCGTGTGTCCAGACACCCAGGCCTCCTTCATTTGCTTGTATGTCTTCGCCATGATGCTAGAAAGAGCGTTGCGCGAGTTGGTCGTCTGCTATGCAATGAATTGGTTCGGGATATCGGACGCGTCTGGCTGGCCTCTTCGCAAACGAAATGTGGCCCAAGCTTTGATGACCTTACATATCGCGACTTCCACACCCCTTCTTTTATACACTGCACAACGTGATGTAGAGAATATGGCCAAAACCCGGGGACTGGCTATTATAGTTGACACCGAAATCATGGAACGGCATGTGATTTTCACCAGGGATGCCAGAAAGAGTAGGAGTGCACTGCACGTGTCCGGACTTCCTCTTTCACCATCACTGCTCCTCCATGAGTAGACGCGTCCGTGCGCAGAACTCCAGATCTGGCAGCTACAATAGAAACTTCAGGCACCTTCCCACCGCATCGCGACCGCCTCGCCCCGACACGTGCCGAACCTCTTTGCTGTGACCTCCTGACAGCTTGTCAAAGCTGTCAACACATGCTTACATGACGGGCGCTAACAAATCAAAGATACCCAGCATCCGACCGGCCTCGTTCGGCGTGAGAAGTCCGCTGCCTGAGAGGGCATTGTCGCCGGCAACGCGCGCGACGACGACGCCTACGGGCACTTCTCGCCTCCCTCGTCGCCCTCAAAGCGAGAAACCGCTGCCCAGTCCGCCCGTCGCGCAGGTGGTAGACCTCAACTCGCCTCCTAAGGCTTCGCGCACCTTGGTAGATGCCTTCACGCCGAGCCCGACGCTGGAGAATTGGCCCATTCTCGCCCCAGAGAACATCCCTCCTCGCCTGAGTTCGAAGAGGAGCTCGCTCCCCACGCGAAGCGGGATCAACTCTGGACGTCAAACGCCTTCCAATGGCAAGGAAGGCAATAGGGTAAAGCGACTCTCATGGCATTCGACGGCGTCGGGCTCAAGCTCAGGAACTGGACCTATCCTCACGATCTCTGCCGATGCAGATGCAGTCATTCTCGGTCAGCGCGACTCCATTCCGGCAGTACCCGCTATCCCGGCGGTACTACCAGAGCGTTCTTCTCAGCCGCGTTCTCTAGGTGCTCTTGCTAGTCGACTCACCAGGGCGACAACGTCCAAAGCATCCTTGAGCATTGCGACTACATCGCCAGTACACAGCACGGCAGAACTCACGGCAAATGGAAATCCAGTTGTTAAGATCAGCCCCATTCGGTCGATGCAGCCAGCGAGGAAGCCTAGTCTTGACGCTCATTCTCCCCAGCTGCCTTCGTCTCCGTCTATGATCTTCCCAGACGCGACAACTGTCGGTAACACACCTGAGGTAATTGTAGAGACCGAGCGCAGTGTATCGCCGGTCTCAGACAGGTCTTCGACGCCTACACCTGAGCCCAGGTCTGTACCGTTGCTTCGAGACTGCTCTGACCCGCCTGTTGATTCCTGGGACGCCTATCAGGTATGTGAACTCGATTGCGTGGCGTGACGGTACTAACAATGGAATCAGGATCAGCTTGAAGAGCTCTCTGAGCCTACGATTGTACCAGGACCCGACGACTCCCTCACCGTGAGCAAAGTCAGGCGGACAGCACCAGCACGGGAAAATGCGAGTCCCTCGCCAAGCTCGATTTACCCTACTGTCGAGGACGACTCGACCGCAAACCCCAGTGCTGCCGAATTGAGCTCTTCGTCACTGCCTCACGCCGAGCCTTCACGCGAGACGGTCCGCATCCAGGCTCCTCCCAAGCCAAGGACCGCGGAGACTGCCAGGTCGATCAGTATTGATAACCCATTGGGCCGTGGAATACCTAAAGCCCGTCAGCCCTTTCGCCGCCACGTCACACCTGTAGTCTCTTCATCACCTGCAGAAGATACACCCCCGGACAACCATGATAAGGAAACTGTTACGAGCAGGATCAAAGCCAAACGCAGCATTCCCAACCTGTTCAACCGTGAGAAGACAAGCCCAAAATCACCAGAAGCGGCGGCATCCAAGCAAGGATTCATGAGTAGCACGCGAAGCTCGCTCGCTAAGGTCTTGCGCGATTCCAAGAGCCTCTCAAAAGTTCATCTGCCTAGAAAGACTGAACCGAAGCTGGAGACTGAGTCTGATCACGTCTCTAACAAGAAGAGCTTCCAGCCAGGCATGTTCTCTGCATTCCCCAGCGGTAGAGCCACCCCGGCCGAACAGCCATCGTCTGGAAGACCGAGCCACGTAGATGAGATGCTTCACGACATCGTCGACCGTATAGATGCGCAACCTGAGAACTCACAAGAGCGTCTGCGTCACGTGGAGATTGCAGAGGTAAGTGAAGCCCTCGAATTGAACACCAGGGCTGAAGCCCTCCGATTGAAAGCCATTGCGGAAGAAGAACTTGTTCTGACCGTACGAAATAAACAGTGTATCATTTCGGCCGCCGACAGTTCTCGCAAAGCCAACATCAGCGCTATGGAAGCGAGAAAGAGTGCTGTTGAAGCGGAATATCATGCCGATCGCGTCACGTCCGAATTCACACGCCTGCGCGAGCTATTCGACACCACGCCGATGGATGCTGAGTCCACGAGATACATCAAGAGTTTCCTACCTAAATTTGAACGCAAACGATCGAGAGAGGAGATCCGCCGAGGGTTTATGCCGGGCTTTCATACAGCATGTTGAAGGTATGGTAACATTCTTGATGTACCCATGAACCAACAGCTGACAAAGAATAGCGCACCTTGAACACCGCTTCGTATGCTCTGCTACTGAACAGATCCGACTGTTATTCGGGGCTCGTTTTTGCATGATTGACGCAAGGTCATATCTACGACTTGATCTTGTTGCGTGGATCTGGGCTTTCCGGTTTTTACTGGACCAGATGACCTCTTGTACAGTACATTTCCTTTTATCGACACTTCTTTCACATGAGAGAGACACCATGGCGGCACGATTGTACGATACCCAACGATTGCATGAGTTTACGATTTCGCGTTGCTATGAAAGCACACGCTTATGGACCGACCCGATGTCTTGCTCAACGTCACCTAATGATTAGAAGACTGAATGAATGGACACTGAGTTAGTTGATCGGACTGCACTTATACGCCAACGTGTAAGGTGCGACATTGGGAGATACCCTGATACATAGACCAGTCGAATTGAAAACATAAACTTTGTATTGTACATGTCCTTCATATCGTGTTATATCATTGCTGAGACTGCAACCACATCAACAGTCGCACGTCAAGAGGCTGGAGTGGAGTATGCAGAGCAACCCTCCAGCATCTCCAACTAGAGACACATTCCATGCAATGGTCCTCTACAGCGATTGTCGCCCAACAACATGGCGCCCTCGTTTTGATATGTGCGACCTCCAACGGCCCCAATACAAAATTCGTGAAGTATGTCCATATCATCCATATCATCCAGCCTCAGCATCTCGCGCATTCCATATAGCATCCTTCTTTACATTCCACCACCAAACATACCGCCACCACCACCCTGCTTTCCTTGCGCCTCACCCTGCATCTTCTCGCTAACCTTGACATTGACCTCGAAGAACTTGGATACGCAGCGGTCGAGGCAGACGGATTCGCCCTTGTTGAGATCGGCTTCGCGGTACGATGTGTCTATGCATTTGGATGTGCAAGATTTGACGAGACTGGAGCAGTGGAAGTTAGTAAATGCTTGTTTCTTGAAAAGACTGAGGGGAGGGTTGGGGGAGAGTGATGAACATACCGGCTGTACATGTCGGAAACCATGTCGATTTCCGCCTCGGCCTGTGCAATCTTTTGCTCTGAAGAGATTTGGGGTTTTTGACCGAAGAACATTGACATCTTGGGTGGTAGTGGGTGGTTGTTTCCTTTCTAGGGTAGGTGAGAGAGGTGCGTAATTGGCGGGTTGGTTGGGTTGGTAGGTACGGGACGGGTGCGTGGTGGCTTGTTGGGGTGGAGTGGCCGTGGTGATGGATTTGGACATGGGTGATGGCGGGCGATGATGTAGCGCGAGCAGGAATTTGGAGCTGGGTGCGCGATGGGGGACGTGCGGCGGAGGAGGCTTGATGACGCGGTATGCCAACCACCAGTTCGTCTCTGCGTCTTTAGGCAAACTTCGAAGCCATGGTTACTTGTTAATCGGCGTCGATTATTTATTGTATCACTGACATTACCCGCGGTCTAATTTCCTTAACCCCGGCGCAATGGCTGATGCCCCAAGCTCGTTGTCGCTAACACAGCATCAGACCCCGAACAGACGCGACTGTCCAGACCTGTACCGGATACTAATATCGATGGTTTTAAGCTTTACGTGTCCAGTTCAGCCTATAGACATGTCTTAAAAACTCAAATCTTGGTCTGCGACGGGGTACGAAAAGGAGCATGATATTAGAATGAGATGATGGAAGGCTAATCGCAAAGGTACGCAGCGACACGAACACAATAAAGAGAAGGCGGCTCAGTCCAGAGTCAGGAAAGATACACGGGCCAGTCTGGGGTAGATGAAAGCTGTTCATCTTAAGTTTGAATTCAATCTGAGCGAAGGAACGTCGCTGAAGAGCGTACGGATCAGCATCATCGACTTACTCCAAACGACAACATGGGACGAACCTTTTACTGCCACCATCAGATGCGTACTGAACTGCCTTGGGGAAGGTGGTCACAAGGCGCACTACGAAAGCACCTTCACACTCCGCCATGTACAGCTTAACGCTTTCATTATCCTGTCTCACGTACTGGAAGCCCAGCCCAGCAGGTTGAGATGGACTTGTCCAAGCGTCTACATCAACGGCTTCGGCATCGCCGTAGATATCACATAACCAAACAAGCCCCGAGAGCCGAGGTTTCATAGCGCCACCTACGATATAAGCAACCCAACAAAAGCAGAGGAGCGCGGTAAGTATTACGCTAAGTGGCTCAAGCACTTGGTGCCTGTGGGCGGGAAAATTTGGGAGGGTAAGGAGATGACTGATGATGAAAATCGAGTTCCGAGTAGCTTGATCAGGGTGTGGGATGATCTGAGGATCGCGCTATGGGGTGAAGGTCTGAGAGCTGCGTGGTGAGTAATGGGGCGCCTTGACGAGGACCCAATTCTCGAGGTAAGAGCGGCGAATCTGCGTACAAGGCCGCATGCGGTAAGGCGTCGCCTGCGTAGCTAAAAGCGCAAAGGGCGTGACTTCTACTTCCTATATCTCCGGTGGATTACTACTATTTATCTTCTACTCTTCGTACTTTCCTCTACACTCTACACTCGGTTGTCTCTTACGTTTCATCAGATCTGCGATGGAACCTCTAATGGGTCGAGGCGATCCAATTGCAAGAAGGCTAATGCGCGCCGGGGGGTATGGCAAGTCACTTGCAATGGAGGCGCTTCTCGGCTCGAACAATCCCAACGGCAATTTTGGCCCTCAACAGCATACGGCCATATCAACCCTCGTGTCATCGCATGACAGAGCCAAGCAATCAACCACCGCAATATCCAACAAGAAAAACAGGGTTAGGGCAGTCCTAGAGACACACTCATTGCCGGCGGACTCAAGCGCACGTTCTTTCATCTCGCTCCCCTCAGAGATCCGAAATCAGATATACGACCTACTGTACGTCTTTGATGAACAGCTATTTGTATGGGACACGAGCGCATGCTGGGGAGGTGTCACATCAGAAGTGGCACAGAATCTTGGGCTACTCTTCAGCTGTCGTCAAGTCTACTGGGAAGCTGCCAGCGTTCTATATCAACGGAACCACTTCTTCGTGTCATCCTGGTACGAACAGGCTTATTTCAAGAGATGGTCCGAACAACTATGTCCTCGGGCGCAATTCCTGAGACATGTCACCATCGATTACGCCGCTTTGTCTTCCGAGTTGGAGGAAGATCATGGCCCCACTTGGGTAGTTGCTCTCGACTTGCTGCCGTTGTTACGACTGCTTTGGACTGAGTCTGGAGCAATGCTGCAAGTCTCGATCGAGACTTCAAGTTATAACGATACGCCCGCAATATTCAACAACGCTTTCAGATCCATCGCTCAGGAAGACCAGCTAAACCTCAGACGGTATTCAAATCTACTTGCATCGGTGATCTTGAGGGTTGAAGGGACCATGGGCACAGTTACCTTCGCAAGTACCACCCCCGAAGCGAACGTGCGATCTACTTTCTCATGCTCAGATGAAGGAAAGGTAGCCACTATGAGCCAAATTCCGTGGAAACCAGAGCTCTCAGCTTTACCTGCATCCGCTTATCATGCTATCATTGCATATGTAGTCCAGCCTACCGTAAAGCTCTTCGCTGGCCCACTCTCGACGATACGACCGCTGCGGAAGTCCCCTGTGTTCCATGTCAATCGCAAGGTACGGTCAGACGCCCTATATCATGCGTATAGAACCACTTCGTTCGTCTTCATGCTCGCTTCAGAAGGTCTCCGACCCAATTTCGGCGGATTCTCATATATAGAGAGATTGCGTATGGTAAGAGCCGACTCAGAGAATGAAGCCCAACTCTGGCCACACGGTTTCGCCAGCGACGTCGACCTCTTGGCGAGGAACTTCCAGCTTTTGCTTGAAATCAGTGTTCGGCCAGAGGATCAAGATATGGATGATGTTCGCATCGACATAATCGAGCTGCTTCGAGCCACGTATCAATCGCGACCTTCCATGGTCATAACTGTTCGGTTGCGCTCATCACGCGACGGTGTCAGCAGCAACACCCAGTCCTCATTCACACTCAAACAGCTGAGACTGAATGTATTCGTCGTTCTGTCGCAGGTCTTCGAGGACAAAGACTACAGAAAGCATGGGCGCTGTCCGGCTGTCTACATCAACGGCAAGGGTCATCCAGTGGAGCTCGTCTATCACGCGGATGATGTCATCAGAATGTTACCAGACCAGTCTCAGGTGTTCAAAAATCAAGAATCGATATTGAAGAAAGCGAAGAGATATGAACAAAGCTTGCGATATCAGGAAGAGTTTCTTCACCCAGAAGGCTGTATATCGCTTGGCAAAATGTGGGACAGCTTGACACTCATGATCTGGCCTCGTAGGCCCAGCTACGCCGAATGGTGAACGGATGCCAATCTTTTCCAACTTAGAATAGGCGATGGATTGTCTTAAACTAAATGGTAGCAGTAATCTATTATATCCAGGAATCGAAGGTACCGAACGCGTGACATCATCACCTCGCTTAGCGCCCCGCGTGTTTTCACTCATCTCACCAGATCGTACCTGAGTTCCATCTTCAAATCACTAATTCCGTGCGCAACTGTTCCATCTTGCGCCGCGCATCTCCGTGCCAATGCCCCGGGAAATGGGTGAGTGGGGTTGCCGTTGAGGTTTTAATACCTTTCAGGCAGGTGCTGTCGATCTCCGCCCAATTAGATCAAGACCCACGATGATGCGATGCCCAGCATCAACTATGTGATAAGATGCCGTCACTGACAGTGTACGGTATATGTAGTAGGCTTTCGCATTGAGTGCTATTCATTCCGTCGGGTATCAACGTTTTCATCATGCGGCTTACCACTTTCTTCTATACCGCCGCTCTTGCGGTTACGGCCATCGCGACTCCCATCTACGGAACAAATGGCACCAACACAACATATGTTGGTCCTGAGAACGGCCACCTCGTAATCGTTGGAGGGAATTTGCAGAGCGAGAGCATCTACCAGCGCATCATCTCCCTTGCTGGCGGCCCCAATGCATCGATCGTTGTGGTACCCACGGCAGGCGGCGAAGATACATACGACCAGAACTTTACGACCGCAGTAGCGTTCCGCAAATATGGTGCCACCAACGTGACGGTATTGCATACATACGATCCCGCGGTTGCTGATACCGACGAGTTCATTGCTCCATTGTTGAGTGCGAAGGGCGTCTTCTTCGGTGGAGGCAGACAATGGAGACTTGTCGATGCCTACGCTGGCACCAAGACCGAAGCAGCGTTCCAGGACGTCCTCGATGCTGGAGGTGTTATCTCAGGGTCTAGTGCTGGCGCGAGTATCATTGGCAGTTTCCTTGCTCGTGGTGACACCGCGAACAACACTATCATGATAGGTGAGTCTCGCGAATACATCTCATAGAAGAAGAAAAGCTAACGTGGTTTGCAGGTGATCATACTGTCGGCTTTGGATATTTGAAGAACTCGGCCATCGACCAGCATGTCCTCGTACGCAACAGGCACTTCGACATGTTTGAGATTCTGAACGCCTACCCGGAGTTGCTAGGATTGGCAATTGACGAAGACACTGCGCTGGTGGTCAACAAGAACGAGATGGAAGTCATCGGCAGCACGTATGCATTGGTATATGATGGCGGTTTCTGGTCGAGGGAAGGAAGCTGGGAGAGGCCTCTACCGCCATCCAACGCGAGGTTTTACTTCTTGCGAGAGGGCGATAGGTATGATCTCGGAGCTAGAGCAGTCATCGAGCCGGAAAGCACTGGCCGCGGCGACGATATGTAACGAAAAGTCTCTATAGACTGGAAGAGAAGTCGTTCACATTAAATGCTGAACATTGAACACTGAACACTGGCCAAACTATATGAAATGAACTTATCAGCGTCCTACATAGTAGTTAACAAGCTCGGGCTGGAGACATCTCAACCCGCTGGCCCTTCTCAGCAAAATAGGCATTTGCGGACGCGCAAGCGCCATGGGTTGCGTTGAAACTCCCGAGCAGGGACCGCGAGCTGGGTTGATACTGTGAGGAGTGTGGGGGGCAGGTAGTGGTATATTCGAAACGTGCCTCGGCATCTTTCGGCTCCTTTGGGGAAAAGCGGAGAAAGTAAGCTGACAGCGACGAGCTCAACAACGCGACCTCAGGCTTGGCTGCGTTATCTGAATATCCCATATCTCTCAATATTCTTGCATATTATAGCTCTTTCGCGCGCTGAAACATCTGCATTTCCTCGAGCCAGCAATTGCGCGTCGAACATTACGTCATCATGTCCAGAGGCTACGAAATCATCGCCATCCTCAAGCCCAAGCCTGGCAACCAAGACAGGGTACGCGTGAAATAGGCACCCCGATATGTACAAACAACTAACGTGCCGCAGGTGGAGGAACTGCTCAACATCGCAGCCCAAGAAGTAAAAGCCACCGAACCCGGCACCACCCGGTATCACCTACAGCGCGAAACCAAGGGCGACGCGCCGAGCTTTGTCATCTTCGAAACGTAAGTCACGCCGCAAAGCCTTGGGCAGACTCGGAAACTGACAGTAATCAGATATGCGGACAAAGATGCTCTGATGTTCCACGCCAAGAGCGCGGGATTGAAGAAGCTACAATCGGCGGTCAATGGGGAGGATCTACTTAGGGAGCCGATGTCGGTTATGATTGTTAAGGATGTAGGCGGTTTCAAGAGCAAGTTATAGGCGGGGTGGGAGGAACATAAATTAGACGATAATGAAGGAAGTGAATACGTCACCAAGCCTACGAAACGGGAGAGTGTGATCTAATGCATTCATGCTGTGTCGGTCGAGCTTTACTAATAACTAGCTAGGCAACGACCTTTCTCGAAACCATTACTAACATCCATGGAAACTGTGCGCGTGTTGTTTGCTTCAGGTAAAACAAGCCGAATATGGACGCCAACTTCGACATGATAGGTCTCTGAACGAGAAGACAAAGCCCACGTTGCCTGGCGCCGAGCTCACAGCAATACTAGAAGTCGTAAGGCGAGATGCGGGGCGCGTCCTCTGCCATTCCCGACTTCCAAGTCATGTAGTACTCCTCGAACTTGTCCTTGGTGATTTGCTTCATGATCCACGCCTTGTCGCGCTTCAGCTCAGGCTCCTTATCTGGATGCACACTCTCCCCCTCCGACTCGAAGATATCCATAAGACGATGCTGATGATAGTCGGCGAGAGCGAAGACGTGTATCGGAAGGAGAGGCCTCTTGTCTTTTCGCATGACGACAACAGAACCAACGTCATTCTGCCATTCTGGTGGTGCGAGGCCCCAATTGAAGGCGGTGTCTGCACGCTCGGGCTTGCAGCCAATGTTAAGGAATGTACCAGCAACATTGACCCAAGACGCTTTGCCTGACGGAGTCTCCGGCCGCTTTTTCCATTTGGCGACACTTCCGGGAATGCGCTGAACAGTGAAGGGTAGCTCAATGTGCTCTGAGACATCGGTGGCTGCGTGGAAGAATGAGCGGTAGGCTGGAAGTTCCATAGGCTCGTAGCGAGGACGGCCTTCAACTTCGACGTCGCCATCGCAGTTGATGCGTACGCCGACTACGCTACTCAACTCTTGTTTAATATCCTCAATCGTCGGGCCAACAGCGTACTTGAAGTAGTATGTGTTGAGCTTGTGCGCGATAATACGAAGGTCGGAAGGACCGAGATCTTGGCTGTAAGACGGATCTTGACTGAAAGGGACGTCATCGAAGGCATCAGTCCCATACGCGATCATTGGACCCCGCCAGGCGTGTAGGTGAGGAGAATTGGGGTCGATGATCTTGTCGATGGCCATGTTGTGTGTCGATCCATCGTGCAGAAAGTTCTCGCGGTAGGACAAGAACAAGTTGTATGGGAGACGACGGGCAAGCGCGTGATTATGTCGGATCTTCATATCTGTCATACCGATTTCCTCTCCAGACTCTGTTTCCTTCTCGTTGTTGGCGGCTAGCGCACCGGGGCAAGCTGCGAGGCAAGGGTGTCCGTACTCTCCATCTTCGGTCATAGTCTTGAGCCAAACGAATCGTGGTGCGCCCTCGTCGGGATGGAAGAAGATAGCGCGAGTGTATTTCTCGCCAGGTGATTCGGCTTCGGGGCGGTCTTGGAAGTCCTTCACGAATTTGCAGAGAATCTTGTGAAGAGACCACGCCTTCTTCTGGCACTCTTTGGAGCAGTACCAGCTGGAGCCGCAACCACTGCAACGCAGTGTGCTCTCGTTGTCGCACTCGTCGCAAAGCGTCATCGCTGTCTTGATCGACCGTTCAGTATCGGGGCTGGGAAAATGTGTGGGAATGAGCGGATGACAAAAGGTGGAAAGAGCCAGTCATTGTAGCAAACAAACATTGTGGTCCGAGCGCAGGTGAAGGTAAAGATGAAGAAGGAAGTAGATTCACGTGTTGCAAGGGTTTCAGTAAGAATTGCAATCACTTGTTAGATTTCTATATACATTTCATATGCATAGTATACGAAAGTTCATTTACATGGTGCTCTGGAACTCCGCAGGCTCAGCACCATAGTCGCTACCGTAACCTCCATACCAGTAATCACCAACGTACTCGACGCCCTGAGCAGTCTGGTTAGGGCGCTGAGGCCACATGTCTAGCATCGCATGCTCTCCAGTCAAGGTGAAGTTGACGCTCGCAAGCGGGTGGTTATCGATCATCATGGTGTAGTCACCGGGGTACAGGACCTTGTTGCCCATCTCGTCAACTCTAGCAAGAGATGCGAGAGTAAGGTTGAGAGTCGCAGTGGCGGAAGAGCCTCCAGCGATGTTGTGAAGACGCTTGTAAGAGACGAGCGACTTCTTGGGGTGGGGCGCAGGACCGAACTCTCCAGCAATGTAGCCAAGAGTGACGTAGTCAGAGCTAACATCGCCGTCGTTGGAGACCTCGACATCGACAGATACGAAGGGGCAACGCTCGAGGAAACCTCCGGTGCTGTTGCAATTCTGCGTAAGGGCAGAGATAGCGTAGCTTTGTTGAAGCTCGCTAGTGACTTCAGCGGAGAAGTTGGTGTAGTGCAGACCGTGACCGAACTCGTAGACGGCGGAACCGTTGTACCACTTGTAAGTGCGACCAGGGTTGTTCTCACCAGGACGCATGTTCATGTCCATCATAGAGACCTGAGCGATGTAGTTGGAGGGGTACTGGGTTGTAGGAAGACGGCCAGCGGGAGCAGTCTTTCCGGTAACAATGTCGATGATGGCGGAACCTCCATCTTGACCGGGGTATCCGGCCCACAGGATGGCAGAGATGTTGGGGTTGTTGACCAGAGGAGTGTTGTCAATCTGTCCACCTCCAGTGACCACGACGATGACTGGCTTTCCGGTGTCGGCGAGCAGGCTGATAACATCGAGCTGAGCCCCAGTCCATGTGAGGTAAGTGCGGTCGTCATCTTCCGCCTCAACGCTGTTGTCGATACCGCCCACGTACATTAGGACGTCGCTAGTAGAGTACGCGCCGTAAAGGTTGGACCAACGGTTGGTCGTCGGGTCGCCCTGGCCACCGGGGTTTCCGCCAGCATAGTTGATGGTAACATTGAGTTGTTCGAGAGCGTACAGAGGAGAGTGAAGGTATGTAGCAACACCGGCGTAGTTACCAAGGAGCTGGTCGGTTGCGTTCGCCCAGTCACCGAAAAGGCCGATAGACATAGACGAATCGACAGAGAGCGGCAGAGTACCATCGTTCTTCAGTAGAACGATACCCTCGGCAGCGGCCCTGCGTGCGAGTGCCTGCGAAGCGTTGGTGGCAACCGCGTCAAAGCCGAGCTGACGGTAGGGCTGGTTGTCGGCAGAGTCGAAGTAGCCAAGACGAACGAGCGAGGAGTATTGGCGGACAAGGGCCTGGTCAAGGACAGCTTCATCGAGAAGTCCTTGCTGGACGGCAGCGGGAAGGTGCTCCTGCATGTAAGTACCGCACGTAAGATCGGTTCCGGCCTTCAAGGAGTCGTAAGCAGCGCCACCACGAGATGATGACCACTGGTGCGGGAGGTAGACGTTCTGAACAGCATCGCAGTCAGATGTGACCCATTGCTCTTCGTTCGTCCAGCCCCAGTGCTCACGCAGAATGGTCTGAAGCAGGTAAGGATCGGCACATGGTGGGGCACCATTTACCGCATTGTAGCTGCACATGAAAGCACCGACGTTCGCTTGAACACAGGCCTGGAATGGAACGAGATAGTACTCAACCATATCCTGCTGAGAGATCTCCACGTCATTCTGGTAGCGAAGGTTTCCGTTCCAGTCCTCAACGTCATAACCTGCAAAGTGCTTGCAAGTTGCGACAACACGCTTGTACGGGTCAGACGCGTCACCCTGAAGACCGTGGATCAAGGCCTGGACGTAAGAAGACAGATGGTAGGAGTCTTCACCGGGTGTCTCCTGTCCGCGTCCCCAGCGAGGGTCGCGGAACGGGTTGATGTTTGGTGTCCAGAAGTCAAGACCAGTCCTGTTCGCGTTGTTGAAAGCACGCGCTTCGGTGGAGATGACCTTTGCAACTTCGGTGATGAGTTCATCGTCGAAAGCCGCACCCATCAAGATGGGCTGGGGGAACGAGGTGGAGTAGCTAAACTCTCCCTCATCGCTGAAGTTGGTGTAAGGGCCAGCAATGCCGTGGAGACCCTCGTTCCACCACTGGTAAGGTGGTATGCCGAGACGGGCAACGCCTGGCGAGCCACTGCTCGTAGCATTGATCTTCTCCTCGAGAGTGTAGAGAGACACGAGGTTTCTCGCACGAGCTAGCGGGGCTGGAAGGGATTAGCACCGTCAGAACGTTGTATGAGTGGGAGATGAACGTACATGCCGAAGGATCGCAGATGGTCTCATTGCTCAAACGTCCACTGCTGCAGTCGGGGAATACGTATTGGGCATACGCTCCTGTCGCAGCGAAGGCCAACACTTGCAGCGCACGCGTCGAGGTAAACATGACGCCGGTTGTCTGGTTTGGTTCGGATGGTCCGGATGCAGCTCGTCGTCGTCTTCACTCCATGTCTTATAGCACAGTAAATAGCCGTAGTCACCGACCCTGCGTCAGCACGCGGTTGGTAAACACCATGGCCCACGATTCCTGTACGTCATGGTCTCGTCGGCCACGCGGTTGAGCAGCGGTCGCAAGTCCACTTATTTCCGAGCGCCGAGCCAGTCTTGTGTCCGAAGCCACTCCCGATGCTTGGCCCAGAGGCATACGGCAGCCAAGATTGTACCCGAGCCGCATGCGGAGCCCCATGGTACTTGCAAAATCTGTGAGGGGTTCGCGCTAAGTGGATCTCCCCGCCCTCCGATTGGCTGCGCCTGGCTATGCATTCAGGCTGAATGTAAATCTACGACTGTAAGCATCACACCCGAGAAGCGGTAAGTTTAAGGCACGGCAGCTACACGTACAAGACGTCGGTGAAATACTGGAATTGCAGGATGGTCTCGCATAAGCATCAGCCGAGCATCCGCAAGGGATGCGCCAATGTGGGCTGACGGAAGACGGGATGGAACCTTGATGGTATTTGCTTATGCCTCAACAGCCATGCTTCCAACCTCGGAAGTTACCTACTCCAGGTTCCGTCAATGTCGCGCGGCAGTTTGTCAACGTGCATCAGGCAATAAGACTTGACCGTATGACAACCATGGCACATTCCCTAATTTCCCATGACACGTCGACCCCAATCCGCCATCCGCCCCTCCCGAGTCAATACATACACACATGCGTTGCGGAGCAGGAGCCCTGGGATGGTCCATTCTAGCGACCGCCACTGATGTCGTCTATTGACCCGAATTGGCAGCCGTTGCCGCGCTTACTGTGGCCAGTTGGACTTCTTAACGGTCATTGGCATGCCATCTCGTGGTTTAGCCTCAAAAACAAATTCCTGGTAGGCGCGATCACCGAATGTCAGATCCAGATCATTCCACTCTGCTCGAGGCGTCTTGTTGGGTTTCAGATCCGCGCAAGTAAAGTCGAAATCGCGTATTGTAAGCAGGAATACGATCACGAACTCGTCCATAGCCAGCGGTTGGCCCAGGCACGCTCGCGGTCCCCTCTCGAATGGACGCCAGGCGTGCCGCGGATGGTCTTCTCGTGTAAACCGATCTGGGTCGAACTTGAGCGGATCTGGTCGAAGCATTAGCCACCGGATGTGTGTTACAAAGAAGGATCGATAGATGTCACTTGCCTGGGAATATCGCTGGATCCATATGCATAGCCAGTTGGACGGGGCAGATCATGCGATCTTTGGTCGGCCATTCGCGACCCTGATACGAAAGAGTATCGATGCCCTTGCGCGCGGTATTTCCTATCGGATAGAACCTCAGGACTTCCTTGATGACGTTATTCGTATAGGTGAGCTCATTCAGCTTATACGGCTCCCTTTTAAGCATCTCGTACGTCGCTTCGATACCGGGGGTGAAAACACGGTCGTGCTCTTCGCGCATCCTTTGTACCACTTCAGGGTGAACGCTAAGCAGCATAGCTCCGAAACAGATGGTATCCGACGTAGTTCCAAGTCCAGCGATCAAAAGAGTCTTTACTTGTGTGAGAGCATCTTTAGTGAATTGGGGGTCGAGCTCCTTTACGTCACCCTGTCGCTCTGCAATATAGTCTCGCAAGATGAGGTCCATTATCCCTAGTCCTCGCTTCTCCGAGAGATCGAGCTTGTCGCCTGCAGCTATGTGTTAGCCGTACGAAGTTCAAGTATGCAGGGACTCCATTGGGCTTCTTACGTTTGACTATCTCGAATCTCTCTTTGATGAGCCCTTCCACAATAGCATCAAACTTTGCGCGTTCGGCGAAAACCGTCCGGTTGACGAAGAAGTTGCGGATGTAGTTCAGAGACTCTCGCGTGATCATAAACGCACGGGACATGTTCTCAAAGTGCTGCAGAGCAGGGCTACCTTTGGTCTGCGCGTCAAGGGATCGGCCAAAGGTCATAGTCGATATGACATCAAACGTCATGCACAGGGTATGGTCCTCTAACCTGAAAACCTCACCCGATTCAGCTTTCTCGGAAAGAATCGACCGAAATTTCATAACCTCGTCAGCAACCATCGGCCTCATCTTGGTGATGTGCGAAGTGGCGAAAGCAGGACTCAACATTTTATGGAGATACTTCCATTGTGGGCCGTTCGTTGTGACGATGTTGCCGCTTCCGATCAAGGGGTCGACCATAGTTGCCTCCATTTCGTGTTTGGGGTGGTTCCGGATGACTGTCATGTCAAGTGCAACATCCGGATCTGTCACCACAACTTGCTGAAATGACACAGGCCACAAATCGAGGTAGAAGACACCTGGCATGTTGTACTTCCTGGCGATCGTAACCACCGCTGCCTGATAATGTACATCACTGGGTAGCGATTTGAAGGTCTCGCCGAGCAGTTTCAAATGGCCGAAGAAGAAGCTATGAGGCGGTTTGGGCTGATCTACTGTCAGTGCTGTCTTGATTATAGCCTGTGCCGGATGCTGCCAACGTACGACATCTTTATAGAAACGCCGAACTTGGATCAGTCTCATTACGCCATATGCGAGCGCCGCAATGATGCCAGAGGAGAGTATCGTCACCCATGGTAGGTCACGGAGGGCCATTGTGAAGAGCGAAAGTGTAAGGTCTGCTATGTATGGAGGGTTGAAGTACCCAGGTATATGAGGTCGTGATGATCCAGGCCCCCCGATCGTGGCATCTTGGCACTTAAGCGGAGTACATCAGCACTAGGCGATCCTGTGGCGCTTGGTGGTGGGATATCTCTAGCGTGTGTTGGAAAGGCGTATGTTTGTAAATTGCGGCGGTGGAAGCATCGATCCCGTATCGTCAGAGGCTTGTGATTTTGGCAATGGACTTTAAGGTGTGACAAGATGGCGTTGCTTGCCTGAGCCATGGCCACTGTCGCCACGTGTTCTCTGTTGAACATCTCTTTCATGTCCTCCGTTGCCATTGCCTACCACGCGCTTTAGGCTCCTAGGTTGCGGTATATCTTGTAAGGCTGGCGGGGCATTGGCTGTAGTGTGGACGCTACAGCACCCTGCGACGCGAGGCGCCATGATGTTGGTGTTCAGGTAGGCGCGTCTTTAGCGTGATGGCTAGGGTGAGAAGGCCAACTCACAACCTTGGAATAGACTATGCGCGAGCATCGCCCAGCAAACTGGACGTCTGCATTTACTTCTCTAAGCGACCTCGAAACAATTCACGTCTAGCTTTTTGCTTTATGGACATTTAGCAAGATAACGTTGACGCATTCCACATTCGCGTACTGTCCAACCAGCAATCGCGCCACGAAAAAACACGTAGCGAACCCACCGACGCGTTTACTGATCGTCAGGCCTCCAACATTGGGACACTAAACCTGGTTCGTGTCTCGAACCCCATCTACGGTATCTCATCATACGGTATCTTTTCCTGTGCTGCAACTCGCATCTCGTCGTCCAGCAATGACATGAGCACCTGGTCCGTGCCCTTCTTCAGCCAGCTAGCATCGTGTGCGAGCGCTGTATGAGCACCGAAATTGGTTTCAAGCAGTCCTATCTTAGCGATGGTTTCTTTCGCTGAAGAAAGGTCTGTATGCAGTGACATGCTCACTGCCCCTGGGCCTTGGAACTCCGCAATTGTTCGCGTGCCGTCCAGCAAATCCCTGACCGGTCAGTAAACGCCCGATCGTATACACCATGCACGTCAGCAAACGCCTGGCACAATCAATTTGACGTACCGCGAATGACAGCCTAGCACAAGATTAGCGAGCGCCAATGGAAATTCCATGGGATAACATACAATCGCTGCCAAGTATTACCCACTCGCCATCTTGCATTCTTGCAGCAGCAGCCAAGTTACCAGGCATATGGCCAGGTGCATCGAGGATCCAGAAACTGCCGTCTCCAAAGTAGTCCAGTGCTCTTTTGAACGGGCCAAAGGGCTTCCACACGCCATGTAGCTCATCCCATTTTTCTGTCGAGTTCTCCGGATCAAAGAAGCGGCCGTCCCACTGTAGGATTTGATCTCTCATATGCCCTGGCTGACATGCTGCTCTCGTGCCGGGACCAAAATACGCTATCGCATTTGGGAATAAACCGCTGATAGGCCTCGAATGATCCCAATGAGCGTGGCTGCAGGCTGCTTAGCGAACTTCATTCACGCCACCCTTGTATCCATACCTGAACAAGACAGTATCGACATCTTCCGCAGCCACGCCTCTTTGCGCCAACTGCTGAACGATAGTCCTCCTTGGTCCGACGTGATTGACGATATCCAACATGAATTTGTTAACCCAAGGAGTATAACAACTTCGGTCCTTCAAGAAACAGTCAGAAGAAGATTGAGGTAGCCAAACCCGACATTGGCCTACGCACCTCATCTAACCCAAGATCCCAAAGTATGTGTCTTCCTTGGTGCGAGATGTAAAACGCCCAGTTGTACATGCGAAATGTACCACTCTCACCAGCATGCAAGCGGCTCAGATCTCCTAGAAAGCTGCCGCCATCGAGCAGAGCAAGACTGACGAAGGCGTCAGTATGAGGGAGGCCGGCCTCCATTGTTGGTGTCATTTGTGCAAGAAACTGACTGCGTGTAACATGTACATCTACCTAGGTAGCACTCTATCTAGCCGAACACATGCTTGCTAATTGCCGAGCTCAGATATCGAGCGAATTACGATATCCTCATCGATGCGAGGCGCAGTCGCTGTAGTACCCCCACATCCCGCACGCGATGCTTGGTCGCGGGTGATTGCCCCACTACTGAAATGGCAGGTACAGGTGCGGGGTAATTATCGGACCATCATTGCCCCCAACGTACCTGCTTCCAGAGAAGCAGCCCCAGGGATGCGCAACTTCCTTCAGCCAATCCAAGCAGACACTAGACAATAGTAAACAATCCGTTAGTCTATGGAACGGTCCTTTGCTTCCTACCAACCCATCCCACGCAGCAGCCAACATGTCAGAGAACCTCAAGCACCAACACCTAGGTGAAATAGAAGGAAAGCCAGTAGATGGCGCAGTGCAATTTCTTGGCCTGAAGTATGCTTCGTTAAAAGATCGCTTGGCTGCGCCCAAGCTCGTTGACAGCTATGGATCTGGAACTACGGATGCCACCAAATTTGGGTACGTCAACTGGTGACGCCGGTCACCATTTACTAATGGAATAGTCCTCCTCCAGTATCTCCAGTCGGTGCCATTGAACGCGAGTTCGGCTTCATTCAACATTCCTTGCCACTTCCAGAGGTTCCGACGCATTCCGACCTCGACTGTCTGAACCTCAACATCACGGTGCCGACCAATAAGGATGGAGCTATTGATTCCAACGCGAAGTTGCCTGTCTTTGTCTTCATACATGGTGGCGGCTTTGCTGTTGGAAGTAGCTGGTACCCGCACTACGATCCAGCTCCCATTGTGAAGATGTCTGTCGAGAGGAAAAAGCCCATCATCGGTATTACTATCAAGTGGGTCTTACAACCTGAAGTACACCTCGTCTACTAATAGATACAGCTATCGATTGGGTTTCACAGGGTTTGCGACTTCCGAAGAATTGCGCAAAGCAGGATACAAAGCGAACAACGGCTTTCACGACCAGCGCACGGCTCTACAGTGGATCAGGAAGTTCATAGGCGGATTCGGGGGTGATGCAGATGAGATCACAGTATGCGGAGAGAGCGCTGGTGGACGTATGTTGTTGACACTATTGACATAAGAGCTCGACTAACATATTCAGTATCTGCGACAGTATTGCTCTGCTCGGAGGAGCCGTTGATGAAGCGCTGTCTTAGTACTGGAGGAGCTGTGCTACTGTTCAAGCCCATCCCAGATTTTGTGGCAGAGTCTTCGTATCAAAAAGCCGTCGAAGCATTTGGGCTGACGGACAAGTCGCCAGAGGATCGTATCAAAGCCCTCCTCAATATACCCTTGGATGATATATGGCAGAAGGTGCCACCCACAGCACCGATGCTGCCTTCAGTCGACAAAGATACCATGCCGGGCTCACCTGATTTTCTTACCGTCTCATCTCAAGAAGACAATCCAGCTTTCATGATGCCGGGCAGGAAGTGGTGCAAGGCCTTTATGATTGGAGAGTCAAAGCTGGACGTAAGTTCCCTATCGTGAATCTCGACATATGTGAGCTCATTGTTTTAGGCGAACATTATTGCATACCTTGGCCTCGATGCTCGCAAGCCGGGCGTCGCGCAAAAGTTCATCGACTCCTGCAACGCCACACTGTCCGCCAAGCCAGAGGTTGCGGAACAGCTTCTCAAATCCTACAAGATAACCCCCGAGACTCCGGACGAAGAGGCTATGCTTTCAATACTGCGCTTTGGTTCTGAGATATCTTTCTACGCGCCCGCTCGTGCCTTCGCCCAAGGCTGGCCCAACACACCCGACTCGAAGTTCTTCCTCTACCACTTCAACGAAGGAATACCTTGGGAAGGTCGCTTCAAGGGCGAAGCAGGCCACATTCTCGATGTATCGTACCTCTTCCAGAACTACAACGAGCACCTGGACGATGCGCAGCAGAAGGTAGCACGAGAGTACGGAGAAGACTTCATCAAATTCGTCAACGGGGAGGACCCCTGGCCGCCGGTAAAGACCGACAAGTTGTGTGCCAAGGTTTACGGGCCTAGTGCCGATGGTGTCACGAGCAGATGGGTTCCAGATGGTGATCCAGCAAAGATTGGAAGAGATGAGAGGGTACTCAAGCTGGGAGAGACAGCTGGGTTTGATGCTATTATGGAGGTCTTCCAGAACTTCTTCCAAGGAAAGTAGACGGTATGAAGACTACATGAGTGCATCAGAACGGGCTCGCAACACCACTATGTATATTAAAGATGACAGAAGCTTTACTCCGCAAACTCCCACGTTCCTTCCTCATTCTTCCTCCCTTTGTCTTCGTATCCCTTCGGTAGAAGACCTCCAACATGCAAATATATACTGCTACCATCCCTATCCACACACCTCTCGTCCTTCGCCGCCTCTTCCCAAACCTCCAACGCCCTCTCCGCCATACTCGGCCTCACCCCAACCTGACCCGCGCTCTCGATACCCAATCCCAAATCTTTCAGCATCATCTGCGTCTTGAACCCCGGCTTATAACCACTGTTACTCGGCACCCAATACTCTTTCTGCACATTGGGAATGGGCATGACGTGATCGCACATCCAAGACTGGCCCGTGCTGTTCTTGATCACGGAGTATAAAGCGGAAGGATCGAGACCGTGAGATACGCCTATTGCGAGGGCTTCGGCGGTGGCGAGGAGAATGGTGCCGGAGAGGTAGTTGTTGCATATCTTGGCGGTGAGACCGGCGCCGAGAGTGTTCAGGTAGAAAGCTTTGGATGGTGGGCCAAGCATTGTGAGGGTCGTCGTAATTCGAGAGTCTGGAGAAGATAAAGAAGTTGGTGTTTGCGCTGGCGGTGGGTGGCCGACCAACATCGATAGTGTGCCTGCTTCTGCTGCTGGGACGCCGCCGGATACGGGGGCGTCGATGTATGTACCCATCTCCGCTTCTTTGAGCTTTTGACCTACTTCTTTTGTGGTGTTGACATCAATCGTGCTGCATTCCAGCATTACCCTGTCTTGGTCCCTCTTCGCTGCAATCACACCGTCTTTCTCGTCTAGATACACTTTCCTTACATCTTCTCCTCCTGGTACGATGGAGATCAGTACTTTCGCATTCTCCGCTGCTTCACGTGCTGTAGCGACGATTTCTATAGGGCCGTGCAACGAGTATTGGGTTTTGAAGCGGGAGCATGCCGAGGCGTTGATGTCGTTGATGTAGAGGGTCGAGGATGGGTCTATCTTCTTGCGGATGTTGGCCGCCATCGCGTAGCCCATCGCTCCGAGACCTTGCATTGTTAGTGATGCCTACTAAGGTACTAAATTGGAGCGCTCACCAATGAATGCGTAGTTATCTGCCGACGTCATGTTCCCAAATAATACACTATCTTGAAACAGTAGTAGAATCAACCTTCTGATACTGTTTGCCCTTTAAGATGCCTCAATTTACAACACTTATCATGTTCCTTTCCATGTACTCGCCGGATGGGCTAGCGTCATTCGTTCCTTGGTGTTTACCCAAGCCCCACATCATCCCCTCACTTCCCCAATTGCCTTTCCCCAATACAACAACCTCGGCGTACTACTCCGAAATCGTTGCCAATTGAGCACGCGTAACCTTGCATTTGACGACATAGCATGGTAGTCATGTGAACGCGACGCGACATGTACCCACCTACTTCACACTCAAGTGCCAAAATCTGAGCGCATTCACAAATACATTCATCTTTGTTCTATTACACCATGTCACCAGAGCCCCTCCGGATAGGCGTTATCGGCCCTGCAGGTTTCGGGGGATCCTACCTCACGGTCGAATTGCTGAATCGAGGCCATACCGTCATTGGTATATCACGCAACCCTGAGAAAGTAGGAAAGCATCCGCGCTACATCCCCAGGCCGGTAGATGTAGATGCAGTCTCTATAGAGGAACTGTCAACAGTTTTTGAAGGCCTTGATGTACTGGTCAGTGAGTTTGGACCGCACACAGCTGGTCCTGGAGCTTTGCTGTACAGTACGTTTCAGCCAAATCAAGATACCAGTAACCAATGACTGACCCACAACAGTGCCGTTCCTAGAATCCGTTCGCAAGATGCTGCTCGCCTACAAGCTACGGCCCGCATCGTACTTCGTCTTCGTCGGCGGCGCAGGCTCCCTCCACGTCCCTGGCACTAACATCTCTTGCGTCGACCACCCAGACTTCTTCCTCGCCTACCGCCGCGCCATCTCCACGTCACTAGCGCACATTGCATACATGGAAGAGCGCCTCGGTATCATGGGCACCTCGCTGCGACGATACCGCGAAGCTAGGTTAGCAGAGAGCTCGGGAACAACCACGGAAGAAGACAGAACTGTGATCGCAGACTACGAGAAACAGATCCGCGCCAAAGATAACGCATCGGACTTCATCAAAGCGGGGCGAACGGCGTACATGTTCTTTGAGGACCGGAAGAACTTCGATTGGAGTTTTGTTTCGCCGTCTGCTTTGTACCGTCCGGGGAAGAGGACTGGCAAATATGAGACTAGTGTTGATGATATGGTGTTGCTTGGGAAGCAGCAGGAAGGTAAAGATGTGTTTGAGGGGAGGTTGACGGGGATCAGTGTTGCGGATATGGCGATTGCGATTGCGGATGAGATTGAACAGAAGAAGTTGGTCTGGAAACACTGGAGTGCCTGGGGTGATATTAGTGAGGATATGCCAGCGCCGGCGTATGTGTATTTGGATGCTGTGGAGGGTGGTAGTAGATAGGCTCAGATTAGCAGAATCTTCGAATGAAGGGATAGAAATTGTTCGCTTGCTCGCTCAGTGCTGGAATTTTTCCTTTGGTATCTTTTTTACTGGTTCTTTCTACACGCTCATCTCCTTCAAATTCTCACTGACTTTGAATGGCGCCTCTGTCTTGCTTCTGATCTCATCCACGGTGACGCCCTTGGCATGCTCCTTCAGGGTCAAACCTTCGACGCGATCGCAGTCGAATACTGCCAGGTCCGTGATGATGGTGCTCACGCACTTTTGTCCTGTGAGAGGGAATGTGCATTGGTTCAGGATCTTGGGGTTGCCCTTCTTGTCGACGTGTTCCATGGTGATGACGACTTTGGTTTGTGTGGGGTTCGCGACTAGGTCCATTGCGCCGCCGATGCCTTTGACCTTTCCGGGAAGCATGAAGTTTGCGAGGTCTGGAAATAGTTAGTGGGACGAAGGGTATGCATTGAACAGTATAGTACGAACCTCCGTATTGGTTCACTTGCATGGCGCCTAGCATGGCGACGTCTATCCGACCTGATCGAATCATGCCAAAGGACTCATGGCTGCCAAACGTCGATGCGCCCTTGATCAGAGTTACGGTCTCTTTTCCGGCGTTGATAAGGTCGGGGTCCTGAGCTCATTAGCCACACAATCAACATCTCTTTGTTGTCTCGTTCTTACCTCCTCGCCAGGCTTAGGATACCGTCCCATACCCAAGATTCCGTTCTCAGACTCCAAAACGATCTCGGTGCCCTCGGGCAGGAATGCAGGTGCTGCCAGCGGCATACCGATACCGAGGTTGACATACATGCCATCCTTCAGCTCTTGTGCTGCGCGCTTGATGATGCGCTCGCGCTTCTGTGATGATTCGGTCGAGCCTTGTACCTTTATTAGCGGCGCTCTCTAATGTAATTATCCGCATGGACTTACCACCCTCCAGCAGTGCCTTCTTCTGCTCCTCGGGGCTCTTCCAGAAGACCTTCCGCTCAATCTCCTTGCCCACTGTGCTCTTGATCACCCTCTTCACGTATATGCCCTGGAGATGAATGTCTTCTGGTGCGATCTCTCCATCCTCAACAATCTCATCGGCCTCGACAATCGTCATCTTCGCGTTCTTGCCCATGGCTTCGTTGAAGTTGTTTTGTGCTTTGCGGAACTGGCAGTTGCCGAGACGATCGGCTTTGGCGACTTTGACGAAGGCGTAGTCACCGAAGATGGCTTCTTCCATGACGTAGGATTTGCCGTTGAACTCGCGGGTTTCTTTGGGAGGGGCCATTTTGGCAATGGTGCCGTCGGTGTTATATCGTACAGGGAGTTCGCCGGTTTGCACTGGAGGGTGTTAGCTGTGCCTGCACTTGTCAAATCATGGTGAGATCCGCGTACCTATTGTTCCATATGCCGCTGGTGTGTAGAAGGCCGGTACACCCGCAGCACCAGCAGCGCACTTCTCTGCGATGGTACCCTGAGGGGTCAACTGCAGACTCAATTGACCCTTCAGGTACATTTGCTCAAACACCTTGTTGTCTCCGATGTAACTCGCAATCATCGTGCCGATCTGCTTTGTCTCCAGAAGCTGTCCAAGCCCGACACCGGGCATACCGGCGTTGTTGCTGACCACTGTGAAGTTTGTAAGGTCGCTCCGATCGCGTAGAGCGTTGATGAGGGTGTTGGGGACTCCAGAGAAGCCAAATCCACCGACCAGAACTGTGGAATCGGACTTCATGTCCTTGATAGCTTCTTGCGCGGAGGAGACGATCTTGTTGATGGCTGGTCGAGAAGCGCTGGCAGAGAAGAATCGCATGCCCGTCGCTGGGCCGCGCCGGCGCGCAGAGAAAAGGACAGAACGTTGCATCGTGAGGTTCGTAGTCGTGAGTCGCGAAGTATCGAGGAAGTGAAGTCGGAACGATGGGTTTCGGATCGCTTGGCTCAGCTTGAGATGGCACAGAGGTTGTTGATGGCGATATACAATTCCAGAGTGTAAGCTCAGCTCAATCGACACCAGATTGAAGCGTCACTCTCCACAAACCTCAGTGCACAAAGATCGCGTGTAGGATTGTGGTGTATAGCGGAGATGACGCTCCCCACACGAGCACCACGAGGGCATGCATGACAGCAAACAACCGATTGGGTCAGACCGATGCAAATGCCGTGCCGATGGCGGGTAAGAGCAAAGCTCCACAATCGGAGGTGGATGAGGACTTAGCCGGCCAAGATGCGGAGGTTGCGGCCAAAACGCACGTTCATTGGGCGAAGCCACACACGGAAAAAGGCAACGTGGAAAACATTTCCAAGGCCGAGCGACCACAGCTGGCTCACGTGCTGACGCGCCAACGCGTGTGCGAAAAGCTGATGGTCACTGACGAGCTGCGGACACATTTGGCACGTCTGTATTGTAGAGTTGGTAGATATGTATTACTATGAACGCTACATGACAACCTCATCGAGTCGATTAGTACAGATCGTGCACGATTTGCTTCACTGCAGCATATGTCAGCTAAAGAATTTTCGGGGAATGTGCGCGACAACGTACAGCTAGCGAAGTCCTTGTGGTCTTTGCTGTGTAGCGCACGCGATGCGATAGCCTCTTCTTCCGCATCACCGGTCGGCACGTTGTACTAGTGGACGTTAGCAATGGCCTCCTCGGCATGCTTCAGCTACTTACAGCTGTCAATGTGGTCTTGTGTCCCAGCTCTTCGACCAGTCCAGCAATAGCATCGGCAACGACGTGGGAGTCCTTCTCGTCGCTGCCGGTACTTTGCTTTCCGATGTATGGGATGATCCTAGCGATTTGCTTCGCCTCCTCTGGGTTGCTCGCCTTAAAGTGAACCGTCGGTGCGAGACTGAGGCAGCTGGTGATGCCATGCGGAATGCTGTATGTTGCACCAATCGCATGGCCAATGCTGTGGCTGAGGCCGACTCCGCCGGTGTACAAAAAGGGGAAGAGTGAGGAGTAACAAGCAACGAAGAGCTTTGTTCGCACTTCGGCGTCGTTAGGGTTGGCCTTCGACTGCGGTAGGTATGTGAAGAGATCTTTGATAGCTTCCAAAGACATGCGTTTTGTGGGGATCTCGGCGGCAAGAGGGTGGTACATCAGCTCAACTGCGTGGTCCAGTGAGCGAATCTGCGAGTGTGTCAGAGATGGTTTCTACTTCAGCGCCCGGGGAGGTGGTAAACGCACTCCTGTGCTTGTCCAGAGGTTCAAGGGTGTGTATACAGCAAGTTCGCCATCGTATACCACAGCTGAATATGATTAGCCTGAGTCTCTCCAACCGTCCGATATCGTGCTTACCCTTGGGTACAAGTTCTGGGTTGCTCACGGCGATCTTGTGCTTTTCTTCGGTGGTGAAGCCAGCATTTTGCGTCGTCTCAGCTACACTCAGTGTCGTTGGTACAGCGATACTAGGTATCCACTTTCCGGTCTCCTCGTGGATATTGTATGCAATGGCTTTGGCTGAGTCAATGGGCGACCCACCGCCTATCGATATGAGTACATCGCATCCGGACTTTGTCATCAGCGCGGTGGCTTCTTTGATATCTCCAATTGGCCTTGGACTTGTCAGCCTGCGCTTGTCATACTTCAACAGCTCTCCACATACGCGTGTTGTCCGATCTTGCTGAATGTACCACCATGCGCAGAACCAAGTGTTTTCTCAATGTTCTTGATCACGGGAGTCTTCTCGTAAAGGGATCGCCCGGTGATGATGAAGGCCTTGGTAGCACCGAGCTCTGTGATAACATCTGAAAGCTGGGAACTTGTTCCTACGCCGACGTGTAAGTTTCTTTGCGATTTGTAACCGCAGTCTGCCTACCATTTCCGTATATCATGAGCTTGACGGGCGATGCCCTGTACACTCCCTTGGTAGAGGAGTCAATGCTGCCATTCTGGTACTTGTTCGGGAGCGCCATCGTGTAATGTCTTGTTGAGATCAGTTTGCGCGTGAAAATGTTCAAAGTAAATGGTCGCGTCCGCATGCAAGCTAGATTCGGCAAGCATCATTGCGTTGTTGCCCGAGTCGGCATGGAGGGGTCTCTCACTCCTGCCCCACACATACACGTCGCCCCGCCACAGCTCTGGCCGCAACCACGATGCGGCACTTCCTCGGCCCTGTGAGATCATACAATAGGCATTCATGTACCAATGCGACGCGTAGATTGTCAGTTCTTGTGCCGAAATGGCGTCCTTTAGCAAAGCCGCGCGGAATGTGCTGCAGAAAAGCCCGAACGATGTAGTTTTACTTTCTGCGGTCAGGTCGCCAATCAATCGTAGTTTCAAGGGCGGTTACAAAGATGCTCATCCAGAAGACATCCTAATGCCGGTGAGTCTCGGCAGGAGAACGCGCAGCACTGTTGCTGAATACAACAGATTATGAAAGCCGCAGTGCAACGAGCTGGCATCGAAAAAGTCGACGTGAACGATGTTATGATTGGGAATGTACTCGCCGAACTGGGCTTCGCGAAGACAGGACGCATGGCGCTGAATCATGCCGGCTTTCCAAACTCCACGACCTTCCATACAGTCAATCGGCAATGCTCGAGCAGTCTACAAGCCATCACCCACATCTCACACTCGATCATGGTGGGTCAGATTGACGTGGGGCTGGCTGGCGGTGTAGAGAGCATGTCGAGAAACTACAGCTCGCGGGGCATCCCAGCCGATGTCTCACCCACGCTGCTTGGGTCGACCGTCAAAGATGCGCGCGACTGTCTTATGCCTATGGGAATCACGTCTGAGAACGTAGCGGAAAGATACAAGGTTGACAGGAAGTCGCAAGATGAATATGCGGTGCGAAGTCATGGGCGCGCAAGTCGCGCCCAAAAGGAAGGTCGCTTTGATTGGGAGATCGAGCCCGTAACGGTTCAGAGGATGGACGAGGCAACAGGCCAGCCTGCAGGGCACGAAGTCACCAAGGACGACGGCATTCGGCATGGGTTGACCTTTGAGAAAGTGTCGACGCTCAAGCCTGTGTTCGGCGAGAACGGCAAGAGTACCGCAGGCAACTCGTAAGTAGACATGACTCAAAGCCCTCGCAAAGCTGACCTTTCAGATCCCAAATATCGGATGGCGCATCCTCTACCATACTCGCCCGACGTTCGTGGGCTGAAGAACGTGGATTGAAGCCACTTGGCCGCTTCGTTGGCACCACGGTCAAGGGTTGCGCCCCCGACGAGATGGGCATTAGCCCAATATACGCCATACCAGCACTTCTAAAGTGGACAGGTGTTGAGCTGAAGGACGTTGATATCATTGAGCTCAACGAGGCGTTTGCAAGCCAGACCATTGCGTGCATTCGGGAGCTGGGTCTCGATGAAGACAAGGTCAATCCGAACGGAGGTGCGATAGCTCTTGGGCATCCCACCGGCGCGACCGGGGCACGGCAGACTGCCACATTGTTCGGCGAGCTGCTGCGTCAGGACAAAGAGATGGGTATCGTCAGCATGTGCGCGAGTACCGGCTTAGGCGTTGCTTCGTTGTTCGTTCGAGAGTCGTAGTTCCATAGAAATGTTGTAGGCTTTGATGATGGAAATCACGAAAGTGTCGCGTGCGTCACGTGATGTGCAAAAGGAGTCTAGCCACTTCCAATCGCTAGCGCGGAACGCAGAGGCTGGCCCCTTCCGAGCCTGGAGGCCGGCATTGTCTTCCCCACACGATCCATGGATGCTGGCTGCACCCGCGTCCCACACGTCCACCGCTTCAAGGCCGCTATGTCTTGTATAGTGCTGGAGCTCCTTTTGGAGCTTCACCTCCCTTTCGCTACTCATTGACTCATTGAGGTGCTGCACCCATTGCAACACACATCATGTTCCTGTTTCGACGCGTCCCACTACGTGCCATCCCCCGGCAAACCACCCTTCATCTCCAACGGCGATCTCTCGGCAGCGTGAGCGCTATCGACTCAGTAATCTTCCGTACGCTGTTTGGGACCGATGAGATCAGAAAGGTCTTCGACGACAAAGCGTACATCAATCGATGTGTTGATGCTGAGACTGCTTTGGCAAGAGCACAATCAAAATGCAATGTCATACCATCTCATATCGGAGAAATTGTGACATCCAAAGCTCGCGAAGTCGAACTGGACTACGATAGGCTACGTAACGAAACTGAGATCGTCGGCTACCCCATCTTTCCTTTGGTGCGACAGCTCTCTGCATCATGCGGTGAGGAGGCTGGGCGATACGTGCATTGGGGAGCAACAACGCAGGACATTATGGATCTGGCAAGCATTCTGCAGATGAAGGAGGGCCTCGAGATCGTTGAGCGCACACTTCGCTCCGTCATCAAAAACCTCGAAGACCTGTCAAGAAAGCACCGGGATACGCCCATAGCTGGTCGCACCCATCTTCAACATGCTCTTCCTATCACTTTTGGCCACAAGTGCGCTATCTGGCTATCCGGGTTCCAACGACATCTCGAGCGTCTTGAGCAGCTCAAACCTCGCGCCTTGATGGTACAGTTTGGAGGTGCCGCAGGTTCTTTGGCTTCACTAGGTTCGGGCGATGATGGCATTCGTGTTCGAAAGGAAATGGCAAGAGATCTGGGTCTGACGGATCCTCCGATCACCTGGCACGTCGCCCGAGATGGTGTTGCAGAGATCACCAACTATCTCGCGCTTGTTGGTGGTACGCTCGGCAAGCTTGCCCTAGACATTATCATCATGTCTTCCAATGAGCTCTCGGAAGTGTCAGAGCCCTTTGTACCACACCGCGGTGCTTCCTCAACTATGCCTCAGAAGCGAAATCCCATCTCGAGCGAGGTCATCTTAGCCGCATCGAAGGTCCTGCGATCGAATGCTGGCTTGGTGCTGGATGGCATGGTATCGGACTTCGAGCGTGCTTCCGGTCCATGGCATCTCGAATGGGTGGCCGTCCCGGAGAGCTTCGTTATGGCTGTTGGAGCGCTATACCAAGCTGACTTTGCGCTCTCTGGTCTGGTAGTCAATTCGAAGCAGATGCTCACGAACCTCTACTCCACCCGAGGTCTTATCGTCGCAGAAGCTGTCATGATGGGTCTTGCTCCACACGTCGGTCGGTCAAAAGCGCACGACGTTGTCTACGAGGCATGCAAAGAAAGCATTGAAAACGACACCAGTTTGTTGGAAGCTCTACAGACACGACCCGAGATCACCGATAAGATCTCTGGCGAAGAGCTGAGCTCATTGTGCGATGCAAAGAACTATCTAGGCTCATGTGGACTCATGGTGGACGAGGTCTTAGCTGCATCCAAATAGATCACATCCATGTCATTCATCAGGGAATAACAATCGCCATGCGTAGATATGAGGGAGAATCACATTCTGACTGGTTCATCTGAGTCAGCACTATATTCTCGATTGGTGCTCTTCTCAGAAGCAATGAAGAACCCCGCAAGTGCGCCACGTCCACATTACCATGACCTCCATGTGGGAAAGGCTATCATACTTTCATCTGACGAGTTCCACTAACCCGGTCTCGGCCACTATGTGGGCCTCTCACAGCTCCCGTAGCCCAGTTACCGAAACGGAAACCCCGCTATTATCAGGGTCGGGCCCCGCCACCACATACGATGCGCAGGCCGGACCACCCAAGTGCGGCAGATGTCGGCCTAGCATTCCATGGCCATGGATACTTCAATATAAGGCTGAAATCTTTACATGGTAAGCTAGATCACTCCTACAATCGTCGTCATCCGCTAAACACCATGCAAGACTTCAAAGAACGCCAGCTCGTCACCGACCCCCAGAAGGCATTTCACTTCACAGATCTCCAAAGACTGAAGCCAACGCGTGCAAACGATCCTTACGAGTACCAAGCAGGATGGGGAAATCGACACCAGTCTGAGGTCATTCCTGGCACTCTGCCTGTCGCTCAGAACAACCCTCAAGAAGTCCGGTTTGGGCTCTACACTGAAGGCATTACATATTCAGCGTTCGCAGCTCCTCGTGCACACAACTTCAGTACCTATATGTACCGGTGTCGACCAGCGGCTGCTCACAGTATGTACTGCGGCACTTTCTCACAAACATTGGCTAACATGTGACAGAGGGTTACGTTCCGATCCAGACAAAATCCAACATCACAAACTGCTTCTTGTCCATCAATCCCAAGGTTGAGACGCTCCCCGAACAAGCAGAATGGCGTCCGTTTCCACTGCCGAAAGACGATGAGAAGATTGACTTCGCGGATGGTTTGCATACTCTCTGCGGCAGCGGAGACCCAAACATCAAGGAGGGTCTTGCGCTATACGTGTATATGATCAACTCTAGTATGGAGCAGCGAGCGTTCTGCAATACCGACGGTGACTTCCTCATCTGCGCCCAACAGGGTAATCTAGATATCAAGACAGAGATGGGCAAGATTTTCCTGCAGCCCGGTGAGATCTGTGTCATCCAGCGCGGCATCCGCTTCTGCCTCAATCTAGCACCGGGCACGCCAGTGGCGCGTGGTTACATCACAGAAGTATGGGGCTCTATGTGGGAGCTTCCTGATCTCGGCCCACTAGGCGGCCACGGTCTTGCCAACCCTCGCGATTTCCTCTACCCGGTAGCTGCTATCGATGATGATTTGCACGTCGATTGGCAGATTGTCAACAAGACGAACGGTCAGCTTGTGGCGATCCAACAAGACCACAGCCCCTTCGACCTTGTCGCATGGCACGGCAATGTTGTACCCTACAAATACGATCTGACGAAGTTCTCGTCACAGAACAGCACATCTATCGACCACACAGATCCTTCGATCTTCACAGTGCTCACAGCCAAGTCCCGTGATCCCATGACACCACTCGCAGACTTCCTCTGGTTCGGCCCCAGGTGGGACGTTGCGACCAACACTTTCCGGTTACCCTACTTTCACCGCAATTCCGCGTCAGAATTCCTTGCCTGTCTATACGGACAAGGTCTTGGACGAAGTGACGACTTCCAGCCCGGCGGTGGTAGCTTCGAGGGTGGTCACACGCCTCACGGTGGATTCCATGAGGGATACCAGCACGGCATGCGGATACACGAGAGCCAGCCCGAGAAGATACTGACTGGTAAGCTAACCGCATCGCTGAGTGGTCGAATACGTACTAACAGCCTCTTAGAACAATTGACCATCATGGTCGAATCGAGCCGTCTATTCCTCTTTACTGAGTACGCTCGCAAGGGCTGCGGAACAATTGAGACCCACGGTACCGACTACAAGGTCTGGGATGCTCTTCCAGACCGCTTCTCCGCCAACAAGAGAGCCCAGGAGTTGCTTGCCCGGATCAAAGACGACAAGATCGCTGAGAAGAAGAGGCTTGCACCATACTACTTTGGTGGCTTTTCACATGGCGCAAACACCAGCGATACGGATGGTGTTCACGCCGAAGAGCTCAAGCAATATTTGAGCCCCGAGTCAAAGACCAACGGGACAAACGGCGTCCACGCATGATTGGGTCTCTATTTTCACGGTCTCGAGTGTGTTAGGCGTTTTAGCGATGTAATTTTGCATATTTCGAGAGTACATGTACACGATAATTCCAATTCCACGCAATGAGCATCGCAAGCTTTGGCATAGCGAACTAGAAACGTCTGTGCATTCACACTCCATACCCTTTGCCGACCCCACAAGCGTCATGTGGGGCAGGAATCTCAAGAAGTTATTCTTGCGTTCTTTAACATGACTGTGTGTTGGCATGGCAGGTCTGGAGTAAGACCATGTCGTATTCTTTTGGAGCTGTCGCGAAAGCGGCTCAACGCGCGCACTTGCGACACGCGGTTAATCGGATCCCGGGTCGAACGTCGCAATCATGGAGGAGGAACATTGCGACTAAGAGCGATGTAGACAAGCAGATGGTTGAGAAACTACCTTTGGCTGGCATCAAAGTGCTAGATATGACGCGGGTGCTTGCAGGTGTATGTGAATGTTTTCCCGACAGAGGTTCATGGTCGCTAACATCAAGTAGCCATACTGTACACAGATTCTTGGAGATCTAGGGTAAGCAATGAATGGAAAATTGGACATTACGCATGTTGACGAGCGTTCAGAGCGGATGTCATCAAGATCGAGCACCCTACAAGAGGTGACGACACGAGATCCTGGGGTCCACCAGATGCGCCCTACACCGATGGCATCGAGCGCCAATTCCCTGGCGAAAGCGCATACTATCTTTCTGTAGGATTTGCCGCGCGACCATGTCGTTTACACTGCTAACATGATGCAGGTGAATCGCAACAAGAAGTCTGTTGGACTCGCTTTCAACAATCCCACTGGTATCTCCATCCTCCATAGACTAGCCCAAGAGTGCGATGTCCTCGTCGAAAACTACCTGCCCGGATCACTCGCCAAGTACCAACTCGACTACGCGACGCTTGCGAAGCTCAATCCCTCTCTGATATACGCGTCTGTCACCGGCTATGGGCAAACTGGGCCATACCGCGACCGCGCGGGCTACGACGTGATGGTTGAGGCTGAGATGGGCTTGATGCATATCACTGGCGAGCGCGACGGGCCCCCAGTCAAGGTTGGCGTGGCGGTGACGGATATCATGA